AGCCCTGGCTCTGCCACTTACTACTTGCATGACCTTGGGCAAACATCATGCACAAATTCTTGTCTAGATGAGAAAAGTGCCTACCCGGGGCATGTTTGCATTTAAGAATCTTAAAATGAATTGCCACCAACTCCAAGGGAAGTGAGGCTAAGAAAATGTTTTCCTAAATTTTTGCCACTCTGACAACACTTTCTTGAGTATAGCTGACACACAATGTTACATTCGTTTTGGGTGTACAACTTAGTGATATGACAAGTTTATGCATTATGCTATGTTCACAAGTATAGCTACCATCTGACCCATTACACTATTACAATATCATTAACTGCAGTCCTTAGGCTCTGCATTTTATTCCTGTGATTTACTCATTCCAAAACTGGAGGCCCATATATCCCTCTCCCCTTTACCCATTTTGTTCAATTCCCCATGTCCCTCCATTTTAAAGATTCTAAGGATCAACCCAATTAGAACGTAACTCTAATTGTAAAACAACAGGAGACCAAGAGGGTAGGACAGCTGCTGTTGTAGATTTCTTTACAAATGAGAAATGTAAAGTATAGCATTTAATTGACACAATATAATCTCATTTATTCAGTTGCCATGTACCTAGAGCCACAGTTAATCCACGAAATTTTGCTACTAGTTGGTGTATGGATGACTCCATTTGCACATACAAGTTTCAATTTATTGTCTTGAAATATTACACAGACTAGAAAGGTCTCACAGTGTTAATGACAGCTTCTGAATATACTAACATCTCCAGCTCCCTTCTTATGCAGAATATATCTCCCTAGAATTTTCACTGCTTACTTCTAAACCAGTATGCCTAGATATAATATACTCCATACAAGTATATTAAGACACCACTAATGTCATGTTTAGCTGTCTCCACTGTAGAATAAAAATTAACAATTCAAGTATTTTTACTCTGTTTGGGGTTACAACATACAAAATACATAAGTCCTTTTGAAACTACAATACAATTTTAAAAGCAGAACTAAATATCTTTAAAAATATCTTTTATATAAAATTTAATGCCATCTTTTTCAACCAAGACCAAGAGACTGTGTTTTAGTAAAATATCTAAAAAGAAATGTAACTATACACTATTTGGTCAGGCTTAGAAATCAGTGATTTTGTAGAAGTAGCTGCTATTCACGGAAAACATTATGATATAAAACACATACATACATATAAACACAAATATGCACACACACGTGCATGCATACACACACATTGGGCTAGGACTCCACAGATTAAGATTCTTGTTAAAGCTCTGCCTAAGGGGTGCCTGGGTGGCTCAGTCAGTTAGGCGTCTGCCTTTGGCTCAGGTCATGATGCTAGGGCCCTGGAATCTAGCCCTGCGTCAGGCTCCCTGCTCACTGGGGAGCCTGCTTCTTCCTCTCCTCCCTGCTCGTGCTCTCCCTTGCTATCTCTGTCTCTCTCAAATAAATAAATAAAATCTTTAAAAAATAACTTTGCCTAAGATTCACTGCATTTTACCCTAGTCAAGTATAATTTGGTGATTAAGAATCAAAACAGACCTGTTTGGATCCTGACTGTGACATGCTGTCATTGTGTGGCCCCAGGGAGATCAACTACTTTGAGCTACTGTTTTCTCACTTGTAAGATGAGAAATAATACTAGAAACTATCTCATAGGTATGTGGTGAAGTTTAAATGTGAAAACATATATAAAGTTTTTAGCATAATGCTTAGTATTAAGTGCTTAATAAATATTAGTATTTATTAATTCTGCTAAGTTACTCCACTTCTCTAGACTTCAGCTTCCTCATATGTAAAATGGGGGTACTGGTTTGTCATTATAAAATCCCCTCCAGCTCAACTAAAACTTAAATGAGAAAGGCCAATGCCATCCTCTCATTCAGACTGGAGCTGTAAAATAAACCTTAAAACATGAATACCACAGGGGCACTTGGGTGGCTCAGGTCATGATCCCGGGGTCCTGGGACTGAGCCCCTCATTGGGCTCCCTGCTCAGCGGGGAGCCTGCTTTTCCCTCTCCCTCTGTCTGCAGCTTCCCCTGCTTGTGTCCTTTCTCTCTCTGTCAAATAAATAAATAAAAATTAAAAAAAACAAACATGAATACTGCAGTCTTTTTTTAAATTTTATTTTAAGCGTTCTAAAATGGGCAGTATATCCCTATCATTTTACATTCTATCTAGAGTGTCCTACCTTTGAACAATTTAGTTTATTGATCTACATGTAAATGTCTAGGTAAGTCTTATTAATTACTAAAAGCTAAAACACTTTGGGAATTTCCATAATGTAAGTAATAAGAGAAAAAATCAAGGATAAAGGATTTTCCTTTATAAAAACATTCATAGTTCACTCATAATGATTTATGACAACGATTCTTAAATTTAAAGGTTATAATACCTTCTAGAATGGTTTCTATCCATGTTCTTAAACCACAAACTTTGATGCGATATTGGTTGGGATGGTGCCTTAAAGTAAGGCAGCAGCCAAAGTGAAATCTCTAGAAAGCCTCAATATTGAACTGTAATCACAGTTTCCATCAAATAAAACCGAGCTCCATGAAACAATGCAGTTTGAAGTCCTAGGTGTAGGAAAGTGACAGCGGATATGTTATACAATAGCAGTTATGGCAGCCATCACAATGATTAGCTCTGAGTCAATAGACATATAATGAAAGCTATCAGTGATAGTCAATGTAAAGCAGTAACTCCAAGATATATTGCAATAAAGAGGAAACAATTAGTAGGTTTTAACAAAACATACATGATGTAATGTCATCAAAAAGAAATAAATGGAAAATGTCTTAGTGTTTTTAAACCTGAGAAAATTACAGACAGAACCACTTCTGGGATAATGTCCCCTTGGTCTTTTTTATGAAGACAGTGTATGTTTGGAGGGCACCTGCTATATAGATATGTCCATATTGCTTTTCCTCTGACTCATAATCAAATTTATTTAGTCACCGGAGGGTCCCTTGCTTGACCAATGGTGAATAAATTTTCATATATACAGTTTTCTCTATAACAATCTTGTTTTTTACCCAAGAAACTGGGATGCAAAAGCCATATATAGTTATAGTTGTAGTTATATATTCAAATAATCATCTGTAGGCAGAGGATAAAGAATTAGATGGCATCATCCTAACACCTAAGAAGGGGTTTTAAATTCATTTGAGAAATTTAGTCCAACACATACACACACACAAATAAGAAGACAATATAAAACAGACTATAAGAAAGTGACAAATATAAGAACCGATGTAGAAGTTCTAGAAAAAGTGAGCTGAATAATGGTTGGGTTACATTAAGAAGGCACTCAGCAGAAAGGTGCAACTTGAACCTCCAAATTGGGTAAGATCTGAATAGGCAGAAGAGAGGGCATGTGAAGTGTGTGAAGTGTGTTGTAGTGGTTCCAGGAGCAAAGCCAGGGAGGTAGATTGTTCAGGAGATATTAAGGAGAATTGTGCACTGAAAAATCAAGTAAAATAAGGGTCCCAGGATACAATGAAGCCAGATTATGAAGTTTTTGCAGTCTGACTAGAATTGGGCTTGGAAGGATAAAAGATAAATTCCAATAATATTTTGGTGAAGAAAATAACTTGCTAAAAGGAGTGTTTACTGACCATCAGTCTGGCAGGATGAATTAAGGATTTGGGGCACAAGTGAAAGCTGTTCCTGGAGGTTCCTGGGAGGTTCCTGGAGTGACTGAATGGATGGTGATGAGAGCTTAGATTGTAGAATAAAGAATTAGAGCAGTGGGCCTTCAAAGGAAAATTCACCAGGACTCTGTAACCACTTAACCATAAGAAATGGTGGCAGGAAAATCAGATTTCTCTGTGAAATAGTCAGGAGTTAAAAATTTTTCCATCAAGGACAAACAGGTTGTTCCTCACCATTGCTGAGTAATATTGCCCCCCCCCAAAAAAGGAGAGTTTAAAAGGGTCTCCCAAAAAGGATTTGCCTTTGCTGGTTTTAGCAGAGACACTGAGGAAGAAAGGAAGAAAGAAAGACTTAGCACCAAACCAGAAAGGGAGACCAAGGCTTTGTAAGAAACCGTTACAAGAAAAAAAAGAAAAAAGAGGAAAAAACACAAGAAAGTTAAATTTCTTACTCTGAGACTCCACAATGGGTCTCACTCTGAGTCTCTCCAAAGAGTTTAAGTTTCAAAATCACTGAGTGGCACCTCAAATCAGAGTTCATTGAAGATTAGAAGTTGGATTCGCTTGAATAATTAGTGTGTGTTTTTTTTTTAATGGTTTCTCATCTCAGGAATTTCTATTTCACAAATTCCTCTTCAAGTTCTTTCAGTTGTTACAAACCTGATATCTGTAGATTAAGAACTTGCTTTCTTAAATTCATCAGGCCCATGTGCGGTCTGGGTATGCCCACTAAGCCAGATTCAAAATAAGTGGCCGGTGTCTCTCCATGAACAGGCGCTTGAAACAACACACAACCAACTCCCCAGCCCTTTCCACGTTCGGCCGACAGCTCAGCCCCACCTCCTCCAGCGAAACCGAAAAGGCGCCTGCGCAAACTCCGCGTCTATTCTTCTCGCCACCAACTTCCCCCCTCCCCCAAATTCTTAATGCGCAGGCGCAGCACTCGGCGCGTTTGAGTAGGGTTGTGAGAAATCCGCTGTCCAGTGAAATGTAGAAGTGGTAGAATTCAGCCCCCTCCCCGCCTCCTGTCTTGGGAGGCAGATGTGCCACTTCCTCCTACTCCGAAGCCAGAAGTGCATTCCAAACGTCGCCCTCTCTAGGAGCAAGGTCCTTTGCTCTCTGGCAATGCCCACTGGATCCCTATCCTCAGCTGTTTTTTTAACCTCAGGCTGCCTCCAGCCTGGACTCAGGTAGTAGAGGCAGCTGGCTCCCCCCTAACCGCAGCGGTTTGTTGGCAGCCTCTTTAGGCCTCTGAACCTATAAGTCCCCCACTGGGCAGGGCATTAGCCCCGTGTCTTGCTCATCCTCCTTCGCCCTTTACACCCACCCAGGCTGAGTCCTTACCTCGGGGCGTGGTGCGGTTACGGGAAGGATCGAAGGATCCCAAATCAGGCCAGTGCTGGGGCAGGCAAATTCAGCAAGATTTTTCCTGGGTCTCACTGTCTCCTCAGACAATGAAATCAGCGTGTCCGATCATCAATTCTCATCATGATTGTGACGTCACAAAAGACAGCGACCAATGGGAGCCCGAGATCAGCTCCGGACAGTCCCTGGCCTCAGCCCAGAACCCAAGAGTGGGGAGGGGGGAGGAAAGATAGCTGCCTGCAGGGGGGCTGCCTCTTCCCTGCACACATCAGCTGTGTCCAAGGCCAGGCTTCTCTGTACCTCTCCCTTCCTGAATAGCTGCGGACACTCAGCATCCCTATGACTACAGTAGTTACATGGCACCCTTTGAGCAGGTGCTGCCTGGTCTTCCAACTTGAGATTCGCTTTCAGCAGAATTGTTGCATGCCAAAATCAAATGATCACAAACAGAAATATAGTCTTTTGTGGTCAGTGTTCAACTGACATGTATATACTCAGTGCTACTAAAATCAAGAAAGTTTCCATCAAGCCTTTGGAATTTATCGATAAGAGCAAGTGTACAGTTTTATGTGACCAGCTGACTCTCCGATTAAAACAAGAAATTAAAATTATGAGTTCTATTCACCTAACCTCAATCCCTATTCTGCCAGAAGTTACTTGCGTGATCACCACTGCACCATAGCAAGGGAAACAAAACAAAACAAAACAAAACACAACTTCAAGTCATATGCTACTTGATACATTCCCCAAATTTGCTGGGTGCCATGAAAGATGTACAATTTATTGGTCCTGTGCTACTATAGAACTTATCACTCAGAAGACAAGATTAGCAAATGTTAAACATTCACAACAATAAAATTAAGCACATTATTAGATGTTCAATCATCAACTACAGACAAGAGATACATCATTTAGTGACTAGAAATGCCAGTGAGGTGATAACCATTAGGAAATCCTTTTATTTTGTAATCAAAACTTGAAATAGTTCTTGAATGGTGGATAAGAGAGGACTGAAAGCACTGTCTTAAAGGGGAAGAATAGGCAAAAGCAGGAAAGCATAGATATATATGATATAAGGAAATCCATGATAAACTCAGCCTAGCAAACAGCATATATGAAGACCAGTGGGGAAATAGGATAGACTGATAATAAAAGTCTTTGAAGATAGGCAGAGAACTTCGATTTTATCAAAAGCCACTGAAGACCCTAGAGCAGGGTACCTAAACCCTTTACAGTCATCTACAAAGCAGCTTGAGGGATTTTTTTTAAGAAAAGTCAAATCATGCCCAGATCCAGACTGTCCAATGGCTTACATTCACATATATATTACATAAAATGCAAATTTCTTACCATAGTGTCAAGGTCCTAACTGATCCGGTCTTTGCCATCCTTATGTCCTCAACTCCTGGCACTCTGCAGTTAACTCACTTTCAAATCACATGGGCCTTCTCTCCATTTCTCAAACAAATTAATCTCATGACCACATGGGGACCCTCATACAGTTGTTCAGTTTGATCTTTATATGACTTTAGTTCATTTGATTAACATTTCTACTCAAATGTAACTTCTTTAAAAGTAACCTCTTTGAAATTTTAAAGAAGTTACACTGTAACCCTATTCTAAATTGTGATCTTCTCAACACTTCATCTACCTCCCTTTCCTGTTTTATTTTTCATAGCATTTACTACTATCTAACATACTCTATATTTTTAGTTATTATTATTTAGCAAATATAAGCTCCATAAGGGCAGGATTTTTTGTCTTACTTATTTTTATATTCCTGGCATCTAGAAGAGTCCTGGATATAAGGTGGACAAATCAGTATTTGTTGAATGAATGACTGAAAGCAAATTTTTCAAGTGATTTGTTAGTCATCAATTTGCAGGTTGAATCAGATTGGGGATAGGCTGAAGAAAGAAAGATAAGTTAGACAGTCACAGTGGCAATATAGCTTCTAGATTACTTGGGGCTAGATCAGCGCATCAAGAGCAGTAATAAAGAGATATTATTAAATTTCAAAGAAGGAATGATTAGGATGAAAAAGGAGGATTCAGAGATGGCCTACCTATGATAGAATAACATATTCATTAAGTACTTACAGCACAGATTTTTAAACTTATTTTTTAAGTAAGCTCCACACCCAGCATGGACTCCAATGCAAAGCCTGAACTCACAACCCTGAGATCAATATCTGAGCTGAAATCAACAGTTGGAGGCTTTACTGACTGAGCCAACCAGGCACCCCAGTATCTACTGCATATCCTGAACTGAAGTGATTTGAGAGAAAGAGAAACCAGGATCTCTACCCTTAAAGAATTTATTGTCCGACTGACAAGAGAAAACAAATATGAAACCAGAGTACAAAAAGAGGTAATTAAATTCATCCAGTTGCTCATTCTTCTTTTCCCTTCACACTCTATATCCAAGCCATCCATGAATCCTATAGGTTGTACCTTCAAAATACATCCAAAATCTAAGCACTCCTTACTTCTCCCATTACTGCTACAATAGTCAAAGACACTATCATTTCTAGTTTGAGCCACTGCAAAATCATCTTACATGGTTTGGTTTTGTCTACTACTATTTTCTTTAATACTTTCTCTTAGCAACTGTCAAAATATTCTTTATAAAGTTGAATAGGATCATATTACTCCCCAGCTTAAAGCCCTCCAAATGCTTCCCAGCACATTAACAATAAAATCCAAAATCCTTGTTGTGGTATTTCCTACCATTTCTTTCTGCCATGGTTCACTATGCTACACTGGCCTTTTTTCTTTCCATCTCTCTTTCTTTTTGAAAATCCTGTTCCTTCTTTGGAGATTTTGCTCTTGCTATGCCTTCTTAGAAAACTCTTCTCCCAGATCATCCCATAACATACTACTTCACTCAGGTGGCCAGCTAAAATTTACCTCCTCAGATATGTCTTTATGGACCAATGTATTTAAAATAGCATCTCCAAATCACACTACATCCTCTGTCCTCTTGCTGTGCATTAGTCTGCTCAAATCACTGTAGGAAATCACATAATTTGCTTATTTATTTTGCCTTTCCTGAGGTTAGGATTTTATCTCTCTTATTTACTGTTCTATCCCCACCTGGTATGAAACTTTGTTGAATGAATGAGTGTAGAAAAGGATAGATTGTGTGGTATAAGCTAGAGTAATTGGTATTCAGAAGTCTGAGATGTTGCTAGTACCATGTCATAGGAATCCATCCCTGTTCTGCACACAGTGTATCAATTAAAGCCATGTTCATTGAATTTGTGGATGAAAGCAATCTGAGAGGAATAATTAAAATATGGATATTAATAAGATTTCAAGAATCTCAAAAGACTCAAAATTCAAATGCAGCAAGATCAAATCGGAGAGGGCTTAACAGTTAAGCTTTACTTTTAGGTCTACAAAAATCAACTGTACAAGTACAGAATGGGCAATAAACACTTAAGGTGGGAAAATTTTATTTATAAAATTATAAATTCAGTATGAGCTAGAATACCACAGCTGTTAAGAAAGATAATTGAGGGGACACCTAGGTGGCTCAGTCAGTTAAGCGTCTGCCTTCAGCTCAGGTCATGATCTCAGGGATCTCAGGGATCATGATCTCTGAGATCAAGCCCCACATTGGGCTCCCTACTCAGTGGGAAGCCAGCTTCTTACTCTCCCTCTGCCACTCCCCCTGCTTGTGTTCACTTGCTCCCTCTCTCACTATCAAGTGAATATATAAAATCTAAAAGAAAGAAAGAAAGAAAGAAAGAAAGAAAGAAAGAAAGAAAGAAAGAAAGAAAGAAAATCGAGAATTAAACTACATTAAGAAAAAGTTAGCATCAGGGCGCCTGCGTGGTTCAGTCAGTTAAGCATCTGCCTTCCACTTAGGTCATGATCCCAGAGTCCTGGGATCGAGTTCCACATCGAGTTCTCCTCTGAATGCTTCTCCCTCGGCCTCTGCCTGTTGCTCCCCCTGCTTGTGCCCTCACTCTGACAAATAAATAAATAAAGTTTTATTAAAAAAGAGAAAACGTTAGCATCTAAAGCAAGAAAGTTAAGAGTCCTACAATTCTAGACCCTGATCAGACAAAATCTGCTTTGTTCAGTTGATTGTCTTATTTTTTAAAAAAATCATGAATGAACACTATTTCAAAAACTAATGATGTACTGTATATTGGCTAACTGAACATAATTAAAAAAAAAACATAAATGGGGGTACCTGGGCAGCTCAGTCAGTTAAGTGTCTGACTCTTGATTTCAGTTCAGGCCATGATCTTAGGGTCCTGAGATTGGACCCTACATGGGGCTCCACACTCAGCATGAGTCTGCTTGGGATTCTTTCTCCCTCTGTCCCTCCCCAGCACTTTCATTCTAAATGAATGAATGAATGAATACATAAATAAAACCTTTTAAAAATTTAATAAATGGTTGCACCTAGAGAAGAGAGACCAGGAATGATGAAGCATCTTAAAAATATACGCTATGAGGCAAGACTCCAAGAAGTGAGGATGGTTAGTTTAAATCAGGGAAGATCTGGAGAAAATATAACTACCATCAAATATTTGAAAGACTACCAGGACAAAGAAAGACAGACTTATTGTGTGGTTCTCAAAAAGGCAAAACCAAAGCCAAAAACGAGAACTGACAGGGAGACAAATTTCAGCTTAACATTCAAGTGTTCAAAAATGACAAGAGCTGTTCTGTAAAGTCAAAAGACCTCAAATCATTAGGAATGTTCAAGCATAGTGACCATCAGCTTGGAGCAAGGTCTTAGCCATGTTGAGTGAGTGCTAAAATCCATTCCAACAGGAACTTTACTAATCTTTGGATTATGTCAGATAGGAATTGGTCCCGAATATGCCTTGAAAGTAGAAAAGGGTTTGGTCTTTTAGAATTTGTTTTTGTTGAGCCAAATGGGAGGGATGTTCTAGGTTGGGGTGCCACTAATAAAACAGAAAAAAATTACTGCTCTCAGATTCTTCAGTAGTTAGAATCAAAATAAAACATTTTCGCAGTGCATTTTGGGTCAGTGTTGGGCTGCATACACCAAAGAAAATGTTTTCAACTTTTATTTTTCCTATTTAAACTTTCCCTATTAATAAGCAATTCATTTCCAG